CCTCTCATCAGCCGGTCAGCCACAAGAGGAATAAATCTAAAAACATCATTAAAAAAAAGGAAATTAGGAGGAGATTAGAAAGATTCTCTCTACACAGAGACGATGGGATTGTGGAATCAGCTGCCACAAACGGAGTTGAGGCAAAGTCTGTCAATAATAATAATAATCCTTGCATTTGATATAGCACCTTATCACGTCTTCGAGACGTCTCAAAGCACTTCACAGAATATACTGTAAAGTGAATTGACTGCATATTTTGTTGGCAAAACTCAGCAGCCTATTGTGCCCAGCAGTGATTCACAAACTGTCGGGGATTGAGTGACCAATTACTTATTACTCACGGAAAAGTGATCTGCCAATCAACTAACAAGCGGGTTCCTACTTACTGCGAGATAAACAGAGCGGTGTGGAGCAAGGCAACTTGCACAACCTTTCACACTATCCGGAGTGCTCAAACCACTGAGCTACAGGAACCCACAGGCAAGTCTACCAAAGGCAATTGGATTGATGTTTGAAGAGGAGAAATATTAAACGGTTTGGGGGTGGGACATAGAGTGATCGGGACAAAAGGTGTGACTGAGCAGCTTGTGAAAAATATAACACTTTTTAAAATGGAATGAACGGGCGGATGGGCTAGTTTGTGCTATAAGAATACCGTAATTTTAACTGTCAGAAACTGGATGAGAATAAAGAGCTGCAGTGAGAACTAGCGCCAGCACAGACACTTTGTTTGCGGTCAGCCGGGTGTCTGATAACAGAGGAAACTCATCACTGCGCTGAAGAGTCTTCAAACCAAACTACTCAGAATTCCACCTATATCTGGAAATGTCTGTGTGTCTGGAATGAGATGTGCACTTTGTCCCCAGAGGGACGTATCCTGCTCACCTCATCACAGACAGTATTCTGCGCAGGATGGGAAGATCACCGATTCAACAACAAATTGTATAGCACCTTTCATGTCGGGAGGACATCAAGAGAGGGGTGAGGGGAAGGGACTGTGGGATGGAGTTCCAAAGGGTGAGGCAAACACTTACACTGTGGGGCTCAGTGAGTAACACAGTTCTGTTCAGTTTAGAGACGGGAATCTTATTTGCAGGAGATATCACATGACTGTAATTATTCCAGTAAAAGGTAAAGCAGTAATTAAAGCCAGTCAGGTTTCTGATTGGAAAGTACGTACGGAAGGCAGAGGCTGACAGGACCAGGGTACAGAGCACAGCTCCCAGCATCATCGTCCCTCACTCAGGACACACTCCTTCCCCGCGCACGTCTGCCTCGCACTGGCACAGATGGTCACCCTTCTCTTTCCTTCCTCCTCTCGTTCTGTGGTCACCACCAGAGCTCCACCCCACACATCCGCTTTGTTCTGATGCTCCGTCATGTTTCTCCCCAACACTAACCCGCCCTCACCCCCTGTCACAGTAACTGGGTGACTTTTAATCCTCTATTACATTTCACACCCTTTTTATATTCGCAGCGTTTACATGGGAACACAAGAATTTGCTGGCGAAGACAAAGGTCCATCTTGTTTGCCTTCCACCATCCTGGCAGTCGCTTGACGTGTCATGTCCCAGTGTAGCCCAAGATATTATTTTTCTAGCAGAAGTCTAATTTGTTCTTGAAACAGACAAACCTCTTTGTTTCCAACTGTGTTAACTGTTTTTGTGAACCATTAATCTGGTTGATCGTCGCGCAGGAAGCCGGGAGGAACTCGCTTCTCTTTTCCATCAGTGTCGAGGGATCTTTAATGTCAGGCAAACAGGTCCTTGGTTTAACGTCTCATCTGAAGGACGGCAACTCTGACGATGTACAGCTCCCCCTGGGCTGGAGCATCAGCCTGGACTCTGAGCACAATCCCGACATGGGCACGAACCCAGGCTTTAGACCCAGAGGTGAGAGTGTGACTGACTGAGCCAAACTGACTTCCTGCGTTATGTTAAGGTCAGAGAAGTGGAGCTGCTGTCCATGTGATTTGTTGGTTTACGGCACAGAAGCCTTCCCCCCCTCTGCTGTCTGTGCTGGTGATCGCTCTTTACTGGGGCTCTATACGGCAGCTCTCTGTGTGTCTATGATTGTGTCTCTCTGTGTGTGTGAATGAATGTGTTCATCTTTCTCTATGTGTCTGTGTTTGTGTCTCTCTCCGTGTCTGTGTTTGCGTCACTCTCTGTGTGAGTGACTGTGTGTGTCTTTCGCTCTCTTTGTGTCTGTGAGTGAATATGTCTCTCGCTATGACGTGAGTCTCTCTCTGTGTTGGTCTCTCACTCTGTGTGTGTGTGTGAGTGTGTCTCTCTGTATGTCTGTATATGGTGGAGGCCTTGAGAGCTCTGCAGCTCATGTCCTCTCCTGCACCTGGCGCTGTGACCCTGTCACCCCCACCCTCGCCCGGCGTCACTGGCTCCACTTCCCGCAGAGGATAGAGTTCAAAATCCTCATCTTTGCCTTCAGGGCCCCCCACGGCCTCGCTCTTTCCTACCTCTGTGACCTGCTAACCCCATACCAATTTGCGCACTCCCTCCACACAGGAGGCTTCGGCCCACACCAGGTCTGCCCTCCTTCCCACCATCAGGAGTGGGCATTCAACCTCTCCGTCCCCATCCTTTGGAACTCTACCCAACAGTCTCTCCACTGCGCTCCCACCCTCGCCTCTTTCCAGGTACGTCTCAAGATCCGCTGCTTCGACATTGCCTTCGGGAACTCTCCTACAGCAACAGCACAACAACAAAATTACATTTCTTAAGCACTTTTCACGTCGCGAGGACGTCCCAAATTGCTGGACAGACAGAGTTACGGACCCGAACTGGGGGTTGGGGTTGGGGAGTGTGGAGGGCAGTGGGGGAAGCAGGGAGATCAAAAGAAATGTCGAAGGGGAGGGTTGAGTTGGGTCTTGAAGTTGGCAAGGGAGGGGGCGATGCGGAGGGACTGCGGGATAGAGTTCCAGTGGATGGGGTCAGAGTGGAAGATGTCCCGCCTGCCAATAGTGGCGCAGGTGAGGCGAGGAACATGATGCAGGGCAGAGCCCACTGAACAGAGGGAGTGAGCAGTATGGTAGGTGGTTAGAAAGTCACAGATGTGGGGGTGAGCAAGACCATGGAGGGTTTTAAATGTGAGGACCGGGGTCTTGAACTGTATCCTCTGGGTGATGGGAAGCCAGTGGTGTTAGGCGAGGATAAGATCATGGAGATTAGTGCGGGAGAGGATACAGGCTGCAGAGTTCTGGATGATCTGCGGCTTATGGAGGGAGGAGTTGGGGAGGCCGAGAAGCAATGGGTTTGCAAAGCCAAGCCACGATGTAATGAAAGCGGCCTGCGGGGTGAGACAGTGGCGGAGCCGGGCGATGTTGCAGAGGTGGGAAGCCAGAGCGGGTCGTGATGCATATGTGGGGTAGAAAGGAAAGTTTGGCTCAAACAAGACCCCGAGGTTCCGTGCTGCTCAGTGAGGTGGAGTGTGCAACCATGGATGGTGGTGCTGTCAGCGCCTGAGGTGAGGAGGTGCTGACGGGAGCCAATCGGGAGAGCCTCGGTCTTGTTGACGTTTAACTGAAGGAAGTTCGCTCTCATCCAGGACTTGATGTCTGACAGACATTCTGTCAGGACAGCAGTGGTCCTGGAGTTCAGGGTGGAGGCAGAGAGGTTCAGTTGGGTGTCATCTGCATACGTGTGGAAGTTGACCCCATGTCTGCGGATGATGTCACCGAGAGGGGGCATATAGATATTGAAGAGGAGGGAACCAAGGACAGAGCCCTGAGAAACACTGCACGAGACGGTGGGGATCCCAGAGGAGAAGCCGTTTGTGGAGATGAAGAGGAGGTGGTGTGAGAGGTACGATCTGAACCAGTCAAGGACAGAGCCATGAACGTTGAGGTGAGAGGAGGCAGTGGATGAGGACAGAAAGGTCGATGGTGTCGAAGGCAGCAGAGAGGTCAAGGAGGACGAGTAGACAGAGGGAGCCCTGGTCCCAGATAGACAGAGCGTCATTTGTCAGTTTGTCACTCCGACCCTCCTTGCCCTCCGCCATCCCTGATCCCAATAACTCTCCTGCACGGATCTAAATGCCTGACTGTCCAACCTCTTGGGATATCCTTCCAATGTGAACGGCGCTATACAAATCTAATGTTGTATTGTCATTTTGTATTGTAATAATCCTTCCCTGGATATAACGCATTATCACGTCTTTGAGACGTCTGAAATCTCTTCACAGAATATACTGTCAGGTGCATTGCCTCTATATTTTGTCGGCAAAATGCGGCAGCGAATTGAACACATCAGTGCCAGTCGTGGATTGAGTGAACAACTTTTTTTTAAGGGATTATTACCTTCCTGAAAAGCGATCAACTTAAACAGAGGTGTGTGAAGTCAGGAAACTACCGATCATTTACCCTGTCCAGGAATTGAACCCAGATCCTCTCACTTGCGAGGCCAGAGCTCAAAGCTACAGGACCACTAAGCTACAGGACTCGATTATTGTACCACAGATTCACCCGCCTGCAGACACACTAACCCACACGACTGAGTGATACCTTCACAAGTATTTTATTCAGTCATTTGGAAAACAGAATATTTACTAAGGAGCACAGGTTTAGTAGCAAAAGGAGTTCATGAGAGAGTCCCATTCAATGTCTTGGAATCAACGATGTTCTTCAAGGTTGGAGGTTGGAGGTTCCAACAACCCATTGGAAAGGATGAGATTCCAGGAAGCCGCGAGGAGTTGATGAGATGTGTGAAGTTGAAGGCACGGGATGAGCACAACCCCTGAATACACTGAGCGTTTCACAGTGGGTGAGAAGAACGGTGAGATCAGGATTCTCACTGCAGCGATTGGAACAGAGGTAAGAAGTCATCTTTTCAAACACAGCTATTTAGAACATGGAAGGCTTTGACATGAGTGGCTGCTGGAGGTCATAACCTTCAACCTAACAGCAACAACGTGCATTTATGCAGCGCCCTTCACATGGGGCAGCGTCAGAAGCAGAATGCTTCACAGTGGCGTAGCCTGACGCCAAGCCGGGGGGACAGAGGAGGTGACTGTGAACGTCGTCGAAGCAGCTCAATGCTATAATGGGAGGACTGCAGGCTGGCGCTTATTGCAAGGATGAGATCTTATAGGCCAAAAGGTCTCGATCATCAGAAGCTCTGCCTGACTTGAAGCTCTTGTGATCTTGTATGAGACACTTTCATGGCCACTGGAGACAGGCACAGGTGAGAGAGCGGGAACTATACAGAGCTCCTTCTTTTCTTGGCCTCAGGATGGAGACGCCTTGAATCTATGAGTGAAGAAAAAGAATGAGATCATGTTTCAGCCAAACAAACACTGTTATTGGGAGTCACGGGTTCCCATGTTCTCAAAGGCTCAACAGAATCGCAAAATTCCACCTCATCTCAGCCCTTGAGATGTTTTGCCCTCAAATATCGGATGGTCCAGACTAGGGGTAAATCCAACAACAACTTGTATTCACACAGGACACGTCTCAGAGCTCTTTATCGTGGCAAGGTTGGATGCCAAGCAAAAGGGGCAGCCAGAGGAGTGGGCTATGAGGAGACGAGACCTTCCCCATATTCATGTAGGTCTCAAGGTGGGATTTCTCCGAGGGTCCTGGCCAGCAATCCTCCAGATGAATTGGTCGCCCACATCACTGCTGGGTGTGGGGGATTTGCTGCGCACTGACTGGCTGCAGCGTTTGCTGACAGAAACACAGTCACTACATCTGACAAAGCACATTAGTTATAATAATGCTTCCATTGGATGCAGCGCCTCATCACATGGTTAGACATCTGAATACTCTTCACAGGATGTTTGTTACTGTGAAGTGTAGTGACTGTGCTTGTTTTGGAATAATAATAATTCTTGCATTTGATACAACGCCTTATCATGATTTCAGGATATCTCAAAGTGTTTCAGGAGATTTTACTGGAAAATAGTGACTGTGTATTGTGTTGTGTATTATAACCTCTGGAGTGGTGTTCAGTGGTTTTGTATTTAAGATACAAACAGCAAAGGATTGACAAACCTTGTGTTTTACAGAGGAGAACGATCCCGATCACCAACAGAAAGAGACATTTAGCTGCTGGCATCAGCCACAGCATCACAGTGATGAAGCTGCCATCACTCTGTGGTCCAGGTGCGAGGATGTCTCGGGAGTCCCTGCCCTGTGTGTTCTCAGCTACACAGCGGTAAGTTCCCCTCAGCCTCGGGCCCCGGATCTCCCCCACGGTTTGATGCTTGTCCGGTACATGTGTGACTGGCGTGTGGTTGGTGTTAATGGGCAGCGTGTTATGCTCGGGGTCGATCCATGTGATGTTGGCCGGTGGTTCCCCCTCAGCCGAGCACACAATGTCACCTCCGGCCACGAGGGACAGACTCAGGATGACGGCCGGAGCTTCAGGTATAAAGAAACACAGAGATATTCAAACCAAACAACTGTCCCCATCGTGTCTGTGCTGGTGCTCACTCCCCCATTGGAGCTCTCTACTCAAACCCCATTCCCTGCTCTCTCCCCATCGTGTCTGTGCTGGTGCTCGCTCCCCCACTGGAGCTCTCTACTCTAACCACATTCCCTGACTGGAGCTCTCTACTCTAACCACATTCCCTGCTCTCTCCCCATCGTGTCTGTGCTGGTGCTCACTCCCCCACTGGAGCTCTCTACTCTAACCCCATTCCCTGCTCTCTCTCTCCCCATCGTGTCTGTGCTGGTGTTCGCTCCCCCACTGGAGCTCTCTACTCAAACCCCATTCCCTGCTCTCTCCCCATCGTGTCTGTGCTGGTGCTCACTCCCCCACTGGAGCCCTCTACTCAAACCCCATTCCCTGCTCTCTCCCCATCGTGTCTGTGCTGGTGCTCGCTCCCCCACTGGAGCTCTCTACTCTAACCACATTCCCTGCTCTCTCCCCATCGTGTCTGTGCTGGTGTTCGTTCCCCCACTGGAGCTCTCTACTCTAATCCCTTCTCTTTTCTTGTACATGTTGTTCATAGTGTTCCGCTACAACCACTTTACAAAATATTTTTTTAATATTCGAGTCTATTCGAGTCTCAGGGCCTCAGGACGTCTTTTTGTTGGGAAAGACGCTATGCAAATGTAATTTGTATCAATTGTATCAATGTAATTGATAAAATCTCAAGAGAGTTTTGTGTGAAGAAAATGCTTCAGCCCATTTGACCTCAAAGTTCCCAATCCCCCCCCCACCCCACTGTCGATGTTACAGCATCGACCTCTTTCTGTAATAAGCCCCAGTGTCCGGCCTCAACCACCCTTCCTGGTAACTTCCTGTCATTAATTACCTTCTGGACAAAGAAATACTTCCGGGTATCTGTTCTTATTTTGACCATCACAACCCTGACCCTGTGCCCTCGTGACGTATCTGAGAGCAATGACGTATTTCTTATCAAATCCGTGAAGAAAATCAGTAACTTCTACACCGTGTGCTGTCGGGTAACTAAATATTGCTGTTCTGATGGCAGTGCAGTGTCTGGGATGGTAACCAGTCTGTCTTATTCCGACACTGATGGACCTGGTCGTGTGTTTAAGTTTTGCTTTACTCGGAGGGTAATCAGGGATTGGAACAGGTGGCCAGGAAGGGTGGCTGAGGCCAGGACACTGGGACTCATTTAAAAAGCAGTTGATACTGTGATTGGGAGTGGGAGGGGCGGTGTTCTGTAAGGATAAGACCAGATGGACCTTCTTCATTCAGACCAATCCTGGACTTGTGAAAAACACATTATTTATTGTTGGGAAGCTTCCCGCTGCTTGTCCAGCGAGGATCACCCTGGGCTTTAGCTTGTAGGGTTAACAGGAGACAAGTGGGAAGAAACCCTGTCCCCAGTAACATACTAAAGTCTCCTCCTTTTGAAACCATGTTTCTTGTGCTAATTAACACATGAGGAACAGGGTAAGGAATGAGACAAACATCGTCTGTAGCATTGCGTCAGTGATGACCTGTTCATTCATCCTTTTCCGTGTCCCACAGAGACAAGAGATCTCTTACCAACAACCTGCAGCCGTGACATGTCCTGTGTCACCTGGTCCACAAAAAACATGACGTGTACGTGACAGAAATACCGTCCGGTGTCGTTTAACTCCAGGCCCCTGATCTTCAGGGAAGCGTCTCCATCTCCCACATTCCTGACCAGCTTGTAGCGATTTCCTTCATTCACTGTCTCTGACTCCCTGGAGTTGGTGTGGGCGGTGAGGCCAAGAGTGTAATTAAACACCAGCTGCCCATGTGGACTCCCTCTCCTCCAAAGCACTGTGACTGTGGCACGATTCTGGTATGTGTTGGGGATGGTGAAGGAGCAGGGCAGTGTGGCATCACCTCCCTTGGTACCAGTCACTGACCGGAGCTTCTCTTCATGACCTGAGACAGGAACAGGATTGGAATAGTGCAGAGCAGTCAGTGTGACAGAGTACATGTTACACACTGTAAATCCTGGATATGTTACCTGGTCTTCATGGCACCATCTCCCTCAGGCCTGTGCTCCTCACTCACCCTCTATGAGCCTATGTCCAACACAATGTCTCACACACAAAACATGGTATTTTTATAGGACCAATAACATGATTACTGGCAAGTGTAGTGACTGTTTTGCAGCGAATTTACTCAGATGAAGGACCCCCAATGCTTATGAAGGCTCTGGGATGCTGCCCTGCATGAGGAGTGCTGTATAAATGCACGTTATCGTTGTTGTTGAACAATCTAATTCAGATGGAGGTTTGGTGGTGTAAAGAAAATCCCTCCTCATGTTTTGGGGCAGTCGGTTTCCTGATACGTACAGATATCTGTCACCGTTGTTAAGAGTATCTAAACCAGAGAGAGACTTCCACATATATATCCACTCTGAGTATGTATTTCAGAGAGTATTATGTTTGGGGCAATTTGGAGTTCAACCAGCGAAAGCAGCATAATAATAATCATAATAATACCTGGATTTGATATCTCGCTATTGAGACATCTCAAAGCGCTTCACCAAATATACTGTCCAGTGAATTGACTGTACATCTTGTGGGAGAAATACACCAGTCAATTGTGCCAGCAGCGATCCAACAACCGTCATGGATTGAGAGAGCAAATTTTTAAAAAATTATTTTTGGAGAGATTTTTGCCCCCAGAGGTGATCCACCAATCGACTAAACTACCGGCTTCCTACTTACTGCGAGGTAAACAGAGGCGTGTATAGCAAGGAAACTTGCTCAAGGTTTCTTCCTGCCCAGGAATCAAACCCAAGTCCTCTCGCTTGTGAGGCGAGTGCTCTAACCACTACACTACAGGACTCCACAGCACAGTTGGCCAGTGACGGCACTGTGTGGCAAGCTTCCTGCTGCTTGTGTAGATCTGTGGTGTTATTGAGCTGAGTGGGAATGGTCGCGCCCAGTGACTGGTCTGCCAATGAGGCTGATGCCAAATCAGCAGTGCCCTGGAGTACTGCGACCGCCTGGCTCAGGAACCAGACTAGAGACCCCCACAGAGGGTTGACTCCTGCCCGACGTCCTGTGGCCTTGTATGTCACTGTGGAGCCAGTCCCTGCTTTACACCGGCTTTTTTGTGGTGGGAGAAACATACAGGGCAGTTTGTGACCTGCCAGCCACCTTGATGTTCTCGAGATCCATTGCCGCGTCCCAGGCTTACTGATCACCAGCTGCTGAATCCAGGTCCTCATGTGAGGGGCCTCGGCAAATAGACAACCCACAGTGAGGCCGCCTCAGCCTCCAGGTGCTCAGTGACAGGTCAGTGTACAGCACAGCCCTCCCTCCCTGCAGCCGCTCACTCACTGTCACCTGTCAGCTCCCTGCTACACACCGTCCATCACAGGGACCACTGGCTCTCTATTGCCCGTCCTGGGACGGGACACTTCCCACTGACTCCGGCCCCAGTGAGGAACGTCACGTCTCATTCCCACTTCCCATCGTTCCTCACCTGTAACAATTAGACGGGTTCCGTGTCCAGTTTCAAACTTTCCGTCCTCACCCTGGAGCTCCACACAACAGGACCATAGCTTATTATTGTCCTCTCCCCTCAGTTGGTTTATCTCTATTGTTGCGTCGTTCCTCCTCGGGTTCCCAATCACTCGGTGTCGTTCTCCCTCGTTTACATCAATGACATTTTGATACTTTCGCTGTGAATCCGGCCCATAATTTGTATATTTAATATACACAGGACCAGTCCTTCCTGCCTTCCACATGATGGTGATGTTCCCTGTGTATCTGGGGTGAGGGTGAGTGAACTTGCAGTACACGGTGACCGGTGACCCTAACCTGCCGGTCACTGTATCGGGGGTCTCCATCGTCCAGCCATTCCTACTGAGCCCTGTGAGGACACACATGGTGTAATGTGAACCAGAACACAACATAAAAGCAAACAGGTAACACTGAGCTTGTACAAGAGCTTGGTTAGGTCACAGCGGGGAGTAATGTGGATAGTATTGCGATCCCCACTGTAAGAAGGATAAAAAAGTGATGGAAAAGTTGCAGCTTAGATTCACTGCGATGTCCCCAGGGTTTAGCGGTTTAAGTTTGTAAAGGAGATTTGAAAGGTTGGGACTTTTTTAGCAAACTGAGAAGGTTAGGGGTGATCTGATAGCGGTCGCTAAACCTCAAAGAGTCACAAAAGATTTTCCTCTCATCAGCCAGTCAGTCACAAGAGGAATAAATCTAAAACAATCACAAAAAATTAACTAAGAGAGGGTTAGAAACCTTCACTTTACACAGAGAGGATGGGATTGTGGAATCCTCTGCCACAGACGGAGTTGAGGCAAAGTCCGTCAATAATAATAATGAGTCTTGCATTTCATACAGGTTTGATCACATCTTCGAGATGTCCCAAAGTGCATCATAGAATACACTGTAAAGTGAATTGACAGTATATTTTGTGGGCGAAACGCATCAGCCAATTGCGCAGCTGTGTCTCACAAACAGTCGTGGATTGAACGACATATTTATAATTTTTTTTGAAGGAATTATTCCCCACGAAAATGTGAACCGCCATTCAACTAACAACCAGGTTCCTACTTACTGCTAAGATAACAGAAGCGTGTGGTGAGAGGAAAATTGCCCAACTTATGCTAATCGAACCCAAGTCTTGCCTGCGAGGCGAGTGCTCTAACCACTGAGCTACAGGAATCCACAGTCAAGTCCATAAAAGGGAATTGTTGTTCGAAGTGTATTAAATTAAATGGTGTTGGGGGGAGGGAGAGTGAGCGAGACACAGGGTGGGACTGAGCATCATGTGAACAAAATAAAACTTGTCAAAATGGAATGAACGGGCGGAGCGGCTGTTTTCATGCTATAAAAATACCACCATTTTAACAGTCAGAAACGGGAGTAGAATACAGAGCTGCAGTGAGAACCAGCGCCGGCACAGACACTTTGTTTGCGGTCAGCCGGGTGTCTGATAACAGAGGAAACTCATCACTGCGCTGAAGAGTCTTCAAACCAAACTACTCAGAATTCCACTTATATCTGGAAACGTCTGTGTGTCTGGAATGAGATGTGCACTTTGTCCCCAGAGGGACGTATCCTGCTCACCTCATCACAGACAGTATTCTGCGCAGGATGGGAAGATCACCGATTCAACAACAAATTGTATAGCACCTTTCATGTCGGGAGGACATCAAGAGAGGGGTGAGGGGAAGGGACTGTGGGATGGAGTTCCAAAGGGTGAGGCAAACACTTACACTGTGGGGCTCAGTGAGTAACACAGTTCTGTTCAGTTTAGAGACGGGAATCTTATTTGCAGGAGATATCACATGACTGTAATTATTCCAGTAAAAGGTAAAGCAGTAATTAAAGCCAGTCAGGTTTCTGATTGGAAAGTACGTACGGAAGGCCGAGGCTGACAGGACCAGGGTACAGAGCACAGCTCCCAGCATCATCGTCCCTCACTCAGGACACACTCCTTCCCCGCGCACGTCTGCCTCGCACTGGCACAGATGGTCACCCTTCTCTTTCCTTCCTCCTCTCGTTCTGTGGTCACCACCAGAGCTCCACCCCACACATCCGCTTTGTTCTGATGCTCTGTAATGTTTCTCCCCAACACTAACCTGCACTCGTCCCCTGTCACAGTAACTGGGTGACTTTTAATCCTCTATTACATTTCACACCCTTGTTATATTGGCCACGTTTACATGGGAACATACAAATTTGTTGGCGAAGGAACGCAAAGGTCCATCTCGTTCGCCTTCCACCATCCTGGCAGTCGCTTGACATGTCATTTCCCAAACCATACAGTGTATCCTGAGATATTATTTTTCTTGCAGAAATCTATCTAATTTGTTCTTGAAACAAACAACTATGGAAGAAGCAAACAAAATTGGGGGAGGGATCAGAAGGAAATGACCCAAGCTGGACCGAAGTCACAAATAAGGAGAATATAAGTGGTCAGGGACCTAATACAATTATAGAACAGAAGGGTGAAAAGACTTTCAAAAATAAAATGAGAGGAGCAACGAATAATAATGAATGAAACTGTCTGTACAGCAATGTTCACAGCATCCGAAATAAAACAGGAGGACTGAGGCAGTAATTCGTAGTGAGGAAACAGATATATTTGGGATTACTGAAACGTGGCTACAGAAAGACCAGGACTGGCAATTAAACATTGCAGGTGTAACATATTTAGATAGGATAGAGATGGGGTAAAAGGGCCATGGAGTAGCTGAACATGTTAGGGATAACATCATGGCAGTAGAAAAAAGGAAATCGGGAGATCAAAACCAGGGGCCATCAATATAAAATTGTCACAAGTGGATTAAATAGGGAAGTTAGACGTTTGCAGAAATGTCTTCACACACAGAGTAGTGAGAATGTGGAACATCTGCCACAAGGAGTTGTTGAGGCTAATAGCATCGATGTATTTAAGAGGAAGCTGGAGAGGTACTTGAGGGAGAAAGGAATAGAAGGTGATGCTTGATGGCTTAGTTGAGGAAGAGCAGGAGGAGGCTCATGTGGAGCTAAACACCGGCATAGACCAGTTGGGCTGAATGGCCGGTTTCTGTGCAATATATTCTAATGTTTTCTAATGTATTCTAACACAATTTGCTTCCACCGTCTCCAAAGGGAACCCTCCATAAGTTACTACTCTCTCACTGAAGTAGTGAACAAATGTTTGAATAAGCGTTACATTTCTGTATTTGATGCAGAATCTGTAATGTTAGAAAGTTTCAAAGGTCTTCAACAGGTACTGACTGTGTTCGTGGACAAACACAGCAACCACTTTGCACACAGCCATATCATCTGAAAGAAATAAAAAGAGTTTTTTGTTAAAGCGCTGAATAAGGTGAAGGACAAAACAGAGATGAGGTTCAGGGCAGTTCTGAGATAAAGTGTGTCGGAGCTGCTGAAGGGAAAGGTTGAGAGTTTGCACGTGTCGGCACACGCTGGAGACAGTAGATATCATGAGTCGGCAAGAACAGTGATCAGAAGAGCGCTGAATTTTGATGATTGTGGGTGGATTAAAAGCAGGAAGGGTGGAATTTCAGAGGGAATCCATATGGAATTAGTTGCAGTTTAAGACAGTTACTGAGGAAAGAGATGTGGCTGTGAAAACAGGTTTTAATGAAAACATCAAACACAAGAAGGGAAACAGATAGCTAAGAAGGTGAGCAGGGTAAAAGGGAAGAAAGAAAGTCACGGTGAAGTGAAGAGCAGAACTTCTTCAAGGTAGGCATTCCTAGAAGACAATTAGTCTACAATTCATCTGGTTGATTGTCGCGCAGGAAGCCGGGAGGAACTCGCTTCTCTTTTCCATCAGTGTCGAGGGATCTTTAATGTCAGGCAAACAGGTCCTTGGTTTAACGTCTCATCTGAAGGACGGCACCTGGATGGTGAACACCACAACCCGCTGACCCAGAGGCGAGAGTGCTACTGACTCACCAGACTGACACCTGATGAGTAATGGGTGCACAGAGGCAGCTGTGGGAGAAGACGAGGAGAGATAATGACAATTTATTATAATATATTTTGTGGGTGAAACGCGGCAGATAATTGCGCACATCAGTGTCCCACAAACAGTCGTGGATTGAGTGACCAAATCAAAAAAGAGAAATGTTTTGAAGGGATTGTTACCCCCAGAAAAGCGATGCACCAATCGACTAACAACCGGGTTCCTTGTTACTGCTGTGTAAACACCGGCGGTGGAGTTAGGAAACTTGACTACCGTTTGGGTCGGCCCGGAATCGAACCCGGGAACTGTTGCTTGCGACGAGTGCTGTCACCACTGAACTACAATACTCCATTACTGTCTCACAGGTTCGCCTGACTGCGGCCACATTAACATACACCACCGAGCCATACGTTCACAAGCATTTTATTCAGTCAATTTCAGAACAGAATATTTACTGTGGAGATCAGGTTCAGTAGGAAAAATAGTGAATAAGACAATCTGATTCAATGCCTTGGAATCAACGATGCAGTGGGTTTGGGGGGAGAGTGTGTGAGGGGGGAGGCAATGAGGTTGGTATTGAGGAGGGGGACAGTGAGGCATGTCAGTGAGGGGGTAGTTCGGTGGTCAGTCAGTGGGGCAGCGAGGAGGGGGTAGTGAGGGGGGGGCAGTGAGGGGGGGCAGTTAGGGGTTGATAATGAGGGGGGGCAGTGAAGGGGGGCACAGTGAGGGGGGGCGGTGAAGATGGGGCGGTGAGATGGGAGCACTGAGAGGAGACAATGAGGGGATAGTGCGGGGCGGTGAGGGGTGGGCAGTGATGAGGGGCAGTGAGGGGGCAGAAATGAGTGGGAAGTGATTGGTCCAGTGAGGGGGTGGCAATGAGGGGGAGCAGAGTGGTGGCCAGTGAGGTGGGGGCACTGAAGGGGGAGAACTTGCTGCAAACTTTCTCCCTCGCCCTCGGCTTTGCCCAGTTAGGAGCCCACAGTTGGTGAGGAGACCCACTTGCCTTCCCCTCAGCTCGAGAGCGACTTCCTGACAGTCTGCAGGAACAGCCGCCATAATCAATGATGTCCTCCCACATTAAGAGAGAATAAGAGAATTATTTAGGGAGGACAAGTTTGCAGGGCTATGGGGAGAGAGCGGGGGAGGGGGATTGATTTGGAAGCTGTTTCAAAGAGCCGTCACAGACACGATGGGTCGAATGGCCTCCTTCTGTGGTGTATAATTCTATGATTGTGTGAATTGGCTACTCAATGCTGGAATGGCCACCAAGTGGCAGTGTGTCCCTCCTGACCGGGAATGGACTCTTCCTCTTCCAGGCCAGACCGCCACCATCTTTGATTTCCCTGAAGTGGAGATAAACACAATTGTAAATTGCAGACCTCGGGGCCGCCCGTGAATACACAGCAATAACGTGTTCACATAGAGCAGGGCCGCAAGCCACAGCCGCGCTATAAACACACTCGGACTATAATGAGCCGAGCTCTCGGGGACGGACTGTACAATGTTGATGCATTGACTGCTGTTCCTGATGGGGTCGATAGGCTCCATGACCCTATCACCCCCATCCTCGCCCGACTCCACTGGCTTCCCATCACACAGAGGATACAGTTCAAGATCCTGGTCCTCACGATCAAAGCTTTCCATGGTCTTGCTGCCCCCTACCTCCGAGACCTCCTACCCCCTAGCATCCTGCTCACTCCCTCCACTCAGCAGCTTCCAGACTGCTTCATGTCCCCCGCCTCGCTCGCCCCACTCTTGGCGTCTGGACTTCTGCCACTATGCCCCCAACCTCTGGAACTCCATCCCACAATCTCTACGCCTTGCCCCCTCCCTTGCCACCCTCAAGACCCATCTCAAGACCCTCTCCTTCCACCATCCTTTCGATCTTCTTGCTCCCCCCCTGCCCTCCACACTCCGCCACCCCGACCCCCAGCTCGGGTCCGTAACTCTGTCTGACTAGCCCCTTGGGACGTCCTCCCGACGTGAAACGCACTTTACAAATGTAATTTTGTTGTTGTTGTTGTTGTTTCGGGCTCGATATAAGTCACTACAGGTCTCACCTGTATAAATGGCGGACAGCAGACTCTGGGCGGGACCAGTGTTCACTGCTCAGCTGATCTCCCATTCGATTTGGTGACAACAGCATAAATCACATCTGGAAGAGAAACAAAATGGAGTCAGGACATGTCCCACCACTTGCTGAGAGCTCTGATATAACGTGTGACCCACGTTAAAGTCTATTAGAACTTTAATATAACTTTTCTAAGGTCCAAATGTCTCAAAGCGAATCACTGTCAAGTGTAGTGACTGTGTATTTTATCAGCAAACCTGGCGGCTAATTTGAATTCAACAATGTCCACATACAGCCAAGAAATGGGTGACCAATTTTATTTGGAGAATTGTTGGCCCGGACACCAGGAGAGAGAAATTCCCTTCCCTTTTCCAACAGCACATTGCATTCCAGACACAGGGAAATTTCCATGTGGAGGTGACATATATATGTGGAATTCTCATTCTGGTTTGGATACTCTTGAGAAGGTGATGTTGGTTGACCCAAAAAACCTCAATAGATACAGACGGGATCTTGGTTTAACATCGCAATTAAAGGACAGCACTTCTGACAATGTAGCGCTCCTCCCAGTACTGCACTGGAGCATCAGCCTGGACTGTGAGCTCGAGGGCCCTGATTTAGGGGCTCGAATCCCCAACCTCCTGACCCAGAGCCAGAGTGCGAGCAGCGAGGCGACTGGATACACAATAAACCAGAAAAGGCTGACAATACTCACTGTCATCAGAGGCTCTGATGGTGGAATTTGCGTACACTTGGGAAGGAGAGAGAGACAATTATTAGTAAATAATTTCAATATTGATAACATTTCCATCAGAAATGGGAATCAACTTCACAAAGAAACTATGACACTGGTTATCAAACGGAGTGCGTATATACTGTACCCGTGGAAATACAGAGAGTGGAGTGCAATGTCTGAAGCTCAGGCCCCAAAATGGGACAGAGTACGAGGAATGAACAGTGAACTGGGGATTGGTGCTACTCCAACGCAAGTCACTGGGATCTGATGCTACTCTAATGTCAGGCCCTGGGGATTGGTGAGCACCAACCACAGAGCTAAGACTTCAGGTCTAATCTGTGCAGTGTAGTGACTGTGTGTCTGTTGGTGAACGCAGCAGCCAATTTGCACTCAGCAATGTTCCACAATCAACCGGGAAGTTTTATAACCAATTTAATCCGGACACCCAGAGAAACTCCCTTCTCTTTTCCAAGTGCCGCGGGACATTTAACATTCACCT